TCAAAACCTATCACTTGTAACGTACAAGGGGTGGGGAATAGCTGGCACTGTTGCTGTGACTCCCAACGAGTCTAGCATGATCAAATGGAAACACTAAGGTTATCTTAGGCCTCAGCTACTTAGTCATTCTTTATCAAAGTAGTCATTTTCTTTGTTTTGGTCCCTTTTCTTCATTTTGCAGAACTGTAGATTCCTTCCTATATGGATGTTTAACAATAAGCTACTCAGTCTCTAATTATTTATAGCTTCCTAGCTCTAAATCGCCATATGGGTTTGACTTGCTTCTTTGGTTGACCCCAGTATTTCATGGATGCCCTGAAAAATGGCCAAAGTGAATCTAACATACTATCAGCTCTGGCCTTCACTACCTGAAGACTGAATATCTCTGACTTTCAAGTCTAGAAACTCACTTTAGAGTGTTTCTGTCTGGCAATAAGAAGGAACAGATGTTTAGACAGGAAAAAAAAACAACTCTATTAAAGATTTCGTCAAATGTTAGAAAAGCCCCTGGTGGTGACAAATACAACATAATATAGGTGTGCATCTATATATATGTATGTGTATATACATAAGGATTCCTGATGTGGCGTTACATGACAATGCACTGGACTACCAGCTTGGTTTGAACCGCAAGGCTGATGGTTCAAATTCACCAGCTATTCCTTGGAAACCCTATACAAGGTCGCTATGAGTCAGCACCGACTCGACAGCACTTAACAACAGCAATGCATACATATATATGTATATTTATGAATTTTCTAAAGATATTAATGTAATTTATCATGTTAACAAAATAAAGGGAAAAGAATTCATTTCAGCAGAGGCAAAACATAATATCTGACAATTATTCTTTATAGAAACTCTTAGCACACTAGATATAGAAGTAATTTTTCTTAATCTGATAAAGGGAAGCAAAAGAATACAAAAAACATCATACTCATGTGTGAAACATTAATTCTCTTACAAAACAGGAACAATACAAGAATGACTGTAACATCCCTTTTTCTAAATATTGTAATAGAAGCTCTAACCAGCACAATGAGAAAAGAAAAAGAACTAAAAGGCATTAAGTTAGAAAGGAAGAAACAAAAGAATTATTTGCTACCTACACAGAAGATACCAAAGAACGTATAATTTATTAACGTTAATAAATGTTCATTGTATTTTTAAGCGATAATGTGCACGTATATATATTTTTGCCAAGTTGTCCCCCAGGGCATTTTCATAAGCATGCTATGTTAATTGTTTACATGTTGCTGTATAAGAAAATTAGCATAGTATGCTTATGAAAATATCTTGTGGGGGTGGATGCAGTTGGCATAACTCATGACTTATTTGTGTGAAATACATTAATATAGTTGTTGAATATAGGATAAGCATAAAAAGATTAAGTGTATTTCTATTTACCACCAAACGGTCTGTAAACAATCTAGAAAATGCAATTTTATAACAATAGTACTTTGTAATAGCTGCAACAGCAACAACTACACAAGGCACTCAAATACCTAAGAAAAGAAAATCTTGCAAAAGACACAGAAGAAAAATTAAATAGAAAATATTTTAATTTTATAGTAAGATATTAAAAGAAACCAAGAAAAACAGATTAATTCAGTTATAGAAAAAAATAAATATTATAACATTTTCATTCTCCCTAAGTAATTCTCTGAAATTCAATTAAATTCCAATTTCAACAAATCCCTAAAGGCATGTTCAGGGACCATAACAAACTGATTCTAATATGTACATGGAAATGCAAAAGAAAAAACCCAAGATAATCCTAAAAAAAGGGGGGGAAAAAATCAGGTAATGTGATAATGAAGCAAGGAAGCCAATGAAGCAGAATTTGGTTGTTGCTGCCAAGTAGGTTCTGGCTAACAACTTTGTATATAATTTCCAAGTAGTAGCTGGTGGATTTGAACTGCCAGCCTTGCAGTTAGCAGTTCAGTGCTCATCCTACAGCAACACCAGGGTTCCAAAGCAGAATAGAGATTCAGAAATAAATCTCTATGTAGAATACAACTTTATATATCATGTAATTATGATTATGTATCACTGAAAAATAGGACAAATTTGTCAATAACTAGTGTTGACATACCTGGTTATGTATACTACCCTACATCCAATTAAAAATAATAATAAATTCCAGATACACTAAGCACTTAACATATGAAAAGCAAAACTTCAAAATATTTTAGCATAACTATAAAATAATTATCTTCATGATCTTGGAAAGAGAAGAACATCAAAAATAAAAATAAAAATCATATAAGGAAATACTGGTAAGTTACATCAAAATTAAGAATATCTATTCATCAAACACAACAATAAAAAGTGAAATGATTGGCCTCTGAGTGACGATGTAAATTAAATATGTAGCATTTATATACATAATATCCAGACTCTAAAAAGAATTTCCATGAAACAAGTGTAAACAACTCAATAATCAAACAGGCAAACAAAAACTACAAGCTATTGTTGTTCTTAAGAGTTGTTGAGTCAGCTGCAACTCAGAGCGACCCTGTATAGGGTTTCCAAATTGCTGCTGGTAGGTTTGAACTGCCAACCTTGCAGTTAGCTGTCCAGTGCTTATCAAAATATGCTCAAATTTATTAAAAATCATGGAAATAAAAATTAAAGCCACAATGAGGTATCATTCTGCAGTCACCAAATAAAAATTTAAAAATCGGACAATACAGGTTGACAAGGCTATGGAATAACAGACTCTCATTTAATCTGATGCAAGAGTTAACTGGTGTGGCGAGGGTGGTTGGGCCTGGCCCTGAGTGTACGGGGTGCTGTCCCATGGCTTTCAGGGCTAACCCAGGTGAGGTAGACCCATTATAGCCCCGAGTTCCAGGTTCCCCAAACCCACAAGGAGTATCACCACAAGTTGGTGGCAGAACCAACAGAGGAAGAAAAGTATGAACTGGATATCTCAGGAAGATTCAGCTCATCAAGGTTGCCTCCATGACCAAAACAAGCTCTGTGTTTGAAGACCCGGTGGTCAGTAAATTCACCAACATGATGATGAAAGGAGGAAACAAAGTGCTGGCCAGGAACCTCATGACATAGACCCTAGAAACGGTGAAGAGGAAGCAGTTTGAGAAGTACCATGCTGCTTCTGCAGAGGAACAGGCAACCATCGAATGCAACCCCTACACCATTTTCCACCAAGCTCTGAAAAACTGTGAGCCTGTGATTGGGCTGGTACCCATACTCTAGGGAAGTCACTGCTATCAGGTCCCTGTGCCCCTAGGCGACCGGCATCACCGCTTCCTGATCATGAAGTGGATGATCACTGAGTGCCAGGAGAAGAAGCACTGGCAGACGCTGATGCTGGAGAAGCTATCACATGAGCTGCTGTAGGCTTTCCACAACCAAGGCCTGGTGATCAAGAGGAAACATGACATGTACAAGATGGCCAAGGCCAACCGTGCTGTGGCCTACTACCGCTGGTGGTAGGAGACAGGCTGAGGTGCCTCTGGCTCATTGAAAAGTCCCTACGGGTTAGGGTACCGTTCCTTTATAAGGGCCTCACAGGGACAGGGCAGCTTGCTTGTTGTTCATGAATACTTTCTTTGGGGACTAGATGCAAAGGGGGGACAAGTTGATTCCCCCCAAGAAACTCATGGGCACCTACCCTCCTCTCTGCTTGAAGCAGATCGCTGATTGATATGATAGGAAGCAGTTTTAGTAACAGAAAAAGTTTATTAGAAAATCCTCATCCTGGATGGTATAGCACATGGTACAGTACTGCTTAGCATACTGAATCTGATGTGGAAATGAGTTTTTTGCCAAAGTGACCCTGATATAAAATGTATAAAAATCCCCCCCCCCAAAAAAAAAAGTTAACTGGTGCAAGCACTTTGAATACTAGCTTTGCATTTCTAGTAAAACTGGAGATGCATTTACCCTACAATCTAGCTGTATCGGGAGCTCTAGTAGCACAGACATTTAAATAAACTCGGGCCTGCTAACCACAAGGTCAGTGGTTCAAACTCACCAGACACTCCATGGGAGAAAGATGAGGCTGTCTGCTCCCACAAAGATTTACAGTCTTGGAAACCCTATTTGGCATCACTGTAAGTCAGAAATTGCTCTTTGGCAGTGGGACTGCATTTTTTTATGTGTAACATGTGTGCATGTAATATTTATATCCTTTTGTATACATATTTCATAATAAAAAATAAAACAAGTTTAGGATATGATGTTTAAGGGTCACTATGAGCTAGAGTAGAGTTCCGATGCAGTGCTGTGGTTAATGTGCTGGCCTGTAAGGTTGGTGTGAACTGTAAGGTCAGCAGTTCAAGCTCACCAATCACTCCCTGGAAACCCTCTACAGGGTCACTGTGAGTTGGAACCAATTCAACCGCACATAACAACAACATGAGCTGGAAACCAACTAAATGGTCCTTAAGAAGCAAACAAAATAAGGACCAACAAACCTTATAGAAGAAGCTTTTATAAGGAGTCAAATTACCTCTGATTTAAGTGCAGTCAATGTGAAAACAAACCAAGTCATTCGTGATATAAGACCCTAGCTCTGAAGATGGAGAGATTAGTTCACTGTTCAAATTAGTTTAAAACCGAAAAATGGCCTCATGAATGATTTTAAAGGGTGTAAACGAAAGCAGGGTCCATTCTGGCCATTTAGGAGATGTATTCATAATTTTGGAGTCCTGGTGTGGCACTGTGGGTTAATGAGCCAGGCTGCAAAGCTGTTTGAAACTGCAAGGTTGGCAGTTCAAGCTCACCAGCTGCTCCTCGGAAACCCTATATAGGGTTGCTATGGGTTGGAATTGACTCAACAGCACTCAACAACAACAACAACATTCATAATTTTGAATTAACTTGCGAACATGAAAGTTAATTATGTTGTAATCAAAATTATTTACATTTTCATATAATATCTAAAAATAAAATTTACCTTTTCATCAAAAGTGACTAATTTCTCAAACAGATCATAAATTTAAGAGACTGAATTCAAAACTCAATGTTACCTGTCATTCCATGACTTCGCATTCTTCCCATCTTGTATTCCGCTTTCAGAGATGGTAAAAGTGCTGCTCCAATGGCTATACCATCTAACATGGCGCTGAACTTAAGAACAATAGGCTTCTTTTCTAAGCCTTCAGGGAGTTGTGGAAATTCATTAGTTTCAATTGGAGTTTGATTAACACTTGTTGGGGTTTTTTCAGAAGGTAAGGGTGTTGCAATATCTTCTTTTACAGGTTGTGGGCTTTAAATTAAAACATAAAATAAAAAGAAACACAATTAGAACAGTTTCCAAATTAGGTAGTTATTGGAACTCTCAGTGAAAAAACTGCAAAAATATACTGTAAAGAGATGTTTTCTTTCCAATAATAGGACAATTGTTGTTAAGTGCTGCCGAGTCGATTCTGACCCATAGCGGTCCTGCATAGGGTTTCCAAGGAGCAGCTTGTGAGCTTGAACCACTGACCTTGCAGTTAAAACGACTTTGCAGTCTGACACATTAGCCCATAGCGCCACACCAGGATGCCAAATAATTGTTGTTGTTGTTGTGAAGTGCCATTGAGTTGGTTCCAACCCATAGAGCCAAACAATTTGTTATTGTTATGTGCCGTGGAGTCGGTTCCGACTCATAGTGACCCTATACAGTGTTTCTGAGGCTGTAAATCTTTATGGGAGCAGAAAGCCTCATCTTTCTCCTGCAGAACAGCTGGTAGTTTTGAACTGCTGACCTTGCAGTTCGCAGCCCAATTCATAACCACTAGGCTACCACAGCTCCTTAGAGCCAAACAATTAGACCTCCTTAAAGTCCTGATGTGGTGCTTCCAGATAATGCAATGGACCACAAGGTCGGTGTAAACGGCATGGTTGGCAATTCAAACTCATTAGCCGCTCCTCAGAAACCCTATAAAGGGTCCCTATGAGTCAGAACTGATGCCACAGAACTTAATGACAACATAAGAGTCATTAAACAATCACAATCCATTAAAGTAAACAAGACAGTAGCAATTAGTCATGATAACACTTACTTACTATTGAATCATAAAAATTTTATTCCCATTTCTTTTTACCAGACCCATATAGATAAGTTGAAAACTATTCAGTGGGGACTCTATCTTCCCCTACACACTCTGAAACTTAACTCCCTCTTGAAACCTTGTAAGCCAGTTACTTCGTACCTTTATCACTCCCTCATTTTAGGGAGCCAAAGTCTAAGTTGCCCGTCCTATCTACCCTGTAAGTAGAGGGGAATACTGGATGTGAAGACCCCTTCCCTCTCTGTTGGTATTTTGTGCTACTACTTCCATGAATATGTCAAGTTAATCAAATTGTAGCAACTTACCCTCGTTTCCTGTATCAAAAATTGTTTTATTTTTTTATCTTCTTCTAGTTGAGTTCTGATGATCAAGCCATCGAGGCTAGGTCAAATGGGCACTATCTGCAATTTTGAGTGTTATTGTGCGCCTCCCCTTACTTCCTATCAGATGGATGCTTCACTCTCAGTTCTAGCCCTCTATGGCTATGTCCTTGTCCATAGGCTCAGGTGTCCCCAGGTCCTATCACACTTTGAACTAACCTACCCTTCCTCTTCTCTCTCTCATCTCCAGGTCAATGGGAGTCTAGGGAACGTGGTTGAACTCAGTCTATTTCTTCATTGCTGCCTTTCACCCCTTTCCACTCACCAGTAGACCAATGTGGTTGCCAGCATGCTTGCATGCCTACTCATGTGTTCCCTTTGAGTTTCAGTCTTAGAGGGGGGGTTTGTCCTAAATGGACTTGATTGTTTGCCTTGATGGTTTCCCAGGAAACAACTTGCTTATTTTTGTAATAGCCAATCACTCTGCCATTTTTGTTTTGGGTTGTTTCTGATGATCTTTCTTTGAAGATGTATCACCTGTCACTCTAGTCACAACTGTAAGGATAGAAGTTTTGTAACAAAAACTGGGGAGTAGTTAATCTTACAGACCAGAAATAGGACCCTAGGACCATCAAGGGAGAAGAGCACAAGAGAACGCAGGACCTTATCCAGAAAAGCAGCGACATCAGAGATGGAGGCAGAGATGGGGCATGAAGAGAGGGAGTAGCTGAGGATTCTAGATTCATGGAAAGAGAGGGACTGAGAGCTGGCGGCCAGGAGGCAGACTTGCAGAATATGCCCTTTGGTGTTGTAAATTATTATATATGCCTGAGTGTTTGAAAAAAAAAAAAAAGAGCTAAAATAAATAGAAAGAAATACTGTTAACTGATGGTACATGGAGGGGATTACAATCATTGTAACGAAACAAAGTATATGATTTGTTGAATGTAAAACTGATGATTAGCCCTGTAAACTTTCACTCAGTTCACAATAAAAACTTAAAAAAAAAAAAGTAAACAAGAACAATATATGAACTCATGGAATGTTATATTGCCAAGGCCGTTTATATAATTAATGCAAAACCGAAATTTACACTCAAGCTTGTCTGATTCCAAATCCCATTACTTAACCATTATGCAAACTACTTTTCATAGTACACAGGACAAATAATACTTATTACTACTGTTGACGCTATTATGAGTAGTAATAATGACACCATCAACAACAATTATTATTTGAGTACTTACCATATACCATATTCTGATTTTAGTGGTTTGTATGACTTAATTTTGTTTGAATAAATGAATATTTACCTCACACAAAACCCTTTGAGTAGGTATTATTCTCCATTTTGAAAATGAAGAAGCATAGCTATCAAGTGGTGAACGCAGGATTTGAATCTAGTCAGTATGGTTCCAAAGTCTGCCAATACATTATAATTTTTAAAAGTCCTTAGGATATTTTAAAACTAGGGTGCATATGAACATTCAGGATTCCATATTCCATTCACTGGAGAAGCATGTAATTTTATACTTCATATGTTTTCAACTTCAGACATGAACTAATATTGACCAACAATTAAAGATCTATAGAGAACAACTATAATAACCACTGCTTTAGGACACTATCAAGACTTACAAATGTTTTCTACTTTATAGGATGGGATAAAGAAAACAAAGCAAAAAGCAACAATTTAACCTTTTTATTTATATTGTCACTAGTTAATCACTAGTGAGAATTTTTGGAGATGAGAAATAAAGTTCAGTAATCCCAACCATGAACAAGGGCTTCTGATAAAGTTATTATGCAAAGGTGTGAGTCACTAGCCCCTAACATGTGGCATGTACAAATCCTGCCTTGAACCATGCACAATAATTTCATATAGTTGTTGTTGTTGTTAAGTGCCTTCGAGTCGGTTCCGACCCATAGCGACCTTGTACAGGGTTTCCGAGGGTGTAAATCCTTACGGGAGTAGAAAGTCTCATCTTTCTCCCGCGGAGCAGCTGGAAGTTTCGAACTGCTGACCATATGGTTCGCAGCCCGATTCGTAACCACTACGCTACCAGAGCCTTGTATACTACAGAAATGGCCAGTGTTCAGTTTTTTAACCCTGTACACAAACAAATTTCAATGAATTCAAAGTAAACAAGGAATTTGTCTACCTCTTATGATGCCAGCAAAATCTCTAGGAACTCTTAAACTTTATATGGTATTGAACACTGAAAGCTGCATTTTGACATAAAGATATTCAGTATGACTCTCCCATGACTTATCTTGGCCACTCTCTACTTGAATTAAATTTGTTTAACAGTCAACACTTAGAATCAATTCCTCAGTTACCTCCAAAATTCTGTTAACATAATAAAGGTTACCCTGAGGTGTTATATAGAATTACAGAACCTTAAGAAATAAACTTACGCTGTAGAAGGTTGTCTAATGAGGTCTGAGATCTGTTTAGATAGTTGGTGAGAACTTCGAACCATCATGCTATGTAACGTGGCAGGATGCTGAGGAATGTTGATGCTGATAGCTCCTACTTTGAAAACGGCTGCATTGTTTGTCTTCAGCCCTCTCTGAGCACTGTAGAGGGCTTGGGACTTGGCAATACTACATTTCACTACAGTTCTATCAATACAAAAGAAGGACCATTAAAATAAACCCAAACAAAGATAAATTTTGAAAAATTACTTTGTAAGAGAAATATTTTTAGCTGTTTCAAAGAAGTGAACCACTTAAAATTTTTCATGCTTTCAAATTATATATTTAAAAAATGTTTTCAAAAACAACGAAATACATTTATTTTACATGGTCTGTACTGAATAGCATTCTATTTTTTAATAGAAAGAGGTTATAGAAGAAAATAAGTGTGTGCTTACATGTATGTAAGTAAAGACACAAATATTTGCAAACTACATACATACATACCTTTGAACCACAGACCTGTGGTTCGCAGTCCAGTGCTGATCGTACAGTACCACACCAGGAGTAATACATATTTGCTATAAATTGAAATCTACTCAACAACAACCTAACTTCTAAAGAAGTCAAAGACACTGAATATGGAAAGAAAAAAATATTCACTGCATTTCTTTAAGTAAAAAAATTACCCAACATGTTAAAAACAAGTGACAGGAAAGATGACATGTGGCATTTTGTTTTTGTTTGTGTCTTATTTTGCTTTCAAATGATAACAAAGAAATGATAGAAGTCCAATTCATATTGAGTATGGTTACTATTTGTGGTTATAGATTAGTAACCTTTGCTGGTACGGATTTTCTAAAAGCAGATATATTGTCTTTCTTGATTTCCTACTCTTTCTCTTTCCAGTGTCTAGAACAGTGCCTGGGATGTGGTTGTTACTGTGATTATAAATTAATAAAGCAGAAGAATGACTCCCACACAACTGTGAAATTCCACAGATAGTATGTTGTTGTAGTTTATATGAAACAGTCCTTGATATACAAAGAAAAGATCCACATCAATGAATTGTACCACGCAAGGATCAGATAATAAAGTTAACTTCTAACATAAATGTTGGAGTCCTGGTGTGGTGCTGTGGGTTAATGAGCTGGACTGCAAAGTCAGTTTGAACCACAAGGTTGGTGGTTCAAGCTCACCAACCACTCCTCAGAAACCCTATACAGGGTTGCTATGTGTTGGAACTGTTTCGACAGCACTTAACAACACAACATTATAAATGTTAGTTTTCAAATGGACAAAGGGTTCTTGACAATAAATAGATTAAGTAGAACACATAACATACAAATTTCTGTTAACTATAGGTCAGTTCTTTGCTCAGGTTGAAAAGATTCAACGATTATAGTTTCAAGGATATAAAGAATCAATTTATCACATTTAACTTCTACATTATGTAAACCCTAAAAACTATAGTAGTGATTCTACTAGAGGTATTAATGATTAATAGACAATGAAATCCAGGCATTATAAATCATTCAAAAAGGATTCCTAGATTACACTGCTTTCGTCCACAAAGTCAACTACTTCTCAGAAAATACTGCTGACTGAAAAAAAAAAAAGTATTCTACAGAATTAGTCTATTCAGTATGAGGGTAGGTTCTGAAATGATGAATTTTGAAACATATCTAATATAATCGAGACCTGGTATGGTGCTGCAGGTTAATACGCTGGACAGCAAGATCAGTTTGAACTGCAAGGTTGGCTGTCCAAGCTCACTAGTCATTCCTTGGAAATCCTATACAGGGTCACTATGAGTTAGAACTGATTTGATGGCACTTAACAGCAAAAACAATTTAATATAATAAATAAAACCATTGTCTGTCACCAATTATATTTCTATTTTCAATTTTAACATGAGTCAGAACACACTAGATGGTGCTGAATGCCAAACACTTACTACTTGTGAAGTGTATCCATCTACTGAATGAAACTAATTACACATTTACAACACAATCTGTCCTTTTATGACAATCAAGAAACATCTTATGTAAATCGTGATTTTATTTTTATAATCTGTAAAAGTCTGTTTGCCTAATTACTAGCTGGTATTATTAGTTTTACAAGCACATACACAACACTGAATTTTTAATTATGTACCAAAAGTAAGAATAGGGCTAACTGTTCCTCTATTGTAGGATCTACTGTGATAATGCCAGTAGAAATTTTGATGTTAGGAACTTCAGGTGGTCTCTGTTGCCTAACTCCAGATGGCCTCATTATAATCTCTGTAAATGACACCCACCACTACAATGTAAATGATAATTGGAGTTGGACAATATGGTAATACTACACTGACCGCATTAAATCAGAAACTGTACAGGATTAACGCTATAAGCTTTTGATTAACTCATCAAAAAGTACATTGAAAATATGTAAGGAGACCCTGGCTGAGGAGTTAAACAGCTGCCAACATGAGTTATCAATTCATAATTTTATTATAATTATCAAAGAGAGTTATCACTTTACATAGGTCATACAACATGTTTTTGTTGTTGTTAAGTGCTGTGAAGTCAAATCCAACCCATAGCAACCCTGTATAGGGTTTCTAAGGAGCTGCTGGTAAGCTTAAACCACTGACCTTGCAGTTCAAACTACTTTGCTGTCTGAGGCATTAGCCTACAGTGCCACACCAGGACTCCATACAGCATGTAGTATGACCTATATGAGGTATATAAGTAGTCCCAAAAACATCTCTAAAGACTATAAAAACATGTAACATATAAAATATGCCTGATATATGGTGAAAAGTCCACAGCGAGTAGACCAGCCAACCCTGTCCATGTGTGAACCAGACAGCCCTGTCCATGCAGGTTTAATAAATGCTTTGAGGACTTGCTTTGAGGCCTTAGTATCTCTACCTTTTTTTTCCATACCTCCACACAAAGAAATCTGGTTAGAGAATTCAAGAACTTGGCAAGGGTCTCCTATATCTACTGTGAGCCTCAGTGACCACAGTGATCACAGTGCCTAATCAGGCTAGGCCTTCTCCCACCATCCTTTACTTCCTGAATTCATGTAGCAGAGTCTTAGAAGTAGGTCAGCCAGCCCTGTCCATGCAGGTTCAATGAATGATTTAAGGACTTACTTTGAGGCCTCATTATCTCTATCTCTATTTCTATACCTCTGCACCTATTTGAGAATGAAGGCCCCCAAATTTATAGACACGAAGAGGAAGTACACTAATTTGTGCCTCTGGTTTAAACTGCCTGCTTCATTTCAATTTTGCAAGCAAATCTCTGCAATGTGAGTGGGGATGTTGTTGTCACGTTATCCTGTCAACTTTTAAATCATCGAAACTGCCTTTTCCACATGGCAATTGCACCATCGATGTTTAACTCTTGTAACTAGGATTTTTAAAAGGGGCTACAGGAGCCTATTAGTGATCACTACAGTGATCAGCTCTCATTTTCTTACTGCTGCATCCCTGGAGCCTAACACAATGTCCTTCACATAATGTGCAACCTAGTAAATAATTGTTGAACCATTAAAAAGTACCCTCTCATTGGTTACTGGTGGCCAGAAGGCAGGCTTGCAGAATGTGCCCTTTGGTTGTTCAAATTATTATATATGCCTGAGTGTTTCTGTGTACCTTCCCCCTCCAAAAAAACCCCCCAAAACAACAGTGAATGGAAGCAAATACTGTTAAATGATTATGCATGGAGATTTTAATCATTGCAATAAAACAATGGTGTAAAGCCAATGTTCTCACATGTGAACTATCACTCAGTTCACAATAAAAACTTATTAAAAAACAAAAAGTACCCTCTCTAAAGAAAGTCCTGTGGTATCAATATATTTGTTTGTTACACATCCAGATAACTCAGTGATAAAAAGATCACTATGGGTAAGAACCAACTCAGAAGCATGTAACCACCACTACACTATTATCAGGTCAATCTAATAAAAATTTGTGATAATAGAAAATTTAACAGTAGCATGTCTAAAAAAGCACTGAAAAAGCACAAACAACACACAACTAGAAGGCATTACTTTTTTTCAACTATAAAATAATAGATTAACAAAACTAGTAGTACTTACCTGTGTGTCTTTCTTCAATACAAGTAAGTTTTAATATATAACAGGGACTATATTAAAGCCAGAAAATAATAGCTAACTATATGTATATAGTTATATATATATATATATGCATATATACATGTGTATATATATTCACAACCATGCAAATAAAATATTCATTTTTAAAGTACTCATTACTATGTTAATCACAAATCTATGAAAAAGAATAATATGACATACAGAAACTCTTGTTTGGCTGTACTTGTAGGAGATGTAGGAAAATCCTCCAGTCTACAGATGAAGCAAAAAGGAAGCAAATAAACATTCATACAAAAATTAGTCACTGGCAATCAATCACCTGGAAAGTTTTTCTAATTTCTTATTTAAAAATGTTTTTCTTAAGGTACCTTTTAAACTGCATTTCATTCATTTTCAATTGAAGTTGAAAATGAAATGCCAAAAGAGAAATTCAGGAAATCTGAATACTAATAGAGTTTGGCATGTAGAGAATCACTATCTCTAACCTTTAAAATAAAACAGTAAAGGAATCATTGACTGGGTTTATTAAAAAAAAAAAAAAAAAATTAAAAATTCCAGTGACAACCTATACTTTTTTAAATGTTCTGTTTTACAAGTTTAAAGACCATTACAAGTTTAAAGGCCTTAAAAGATACAGAATAATGGAAATAAGAGATCTCTTAATGCTCTGAAATGATCATTTATAGAATTAAAAAAACAGTTGAGACATGTAAGAATTTTGTTTTACTATGTGAATAGGTACTGGATTGCTAACTATAAGATCTGAAGTTCAAATCCAACAGCCACTCCTTGGAAACCCTACACGCAGTTGCTGAGTAGGAACCGACTGGATGGCACTTAATAACATTCAATAGGTTAAAGTAACCATGGCACTTCAAGTTTAGTTACTGAAGAACTTACGGAACCCAAGGTCTGTGATAACTTTCTACAGAAGCCTCCTGGTGAAGAGGGATGGGTAAACGTGCAAATTTTGACACCACTTCTTACTGACTAGGGTTTTAAGTATTTTATTCAACTACTTTGATTTTCTAAATCTCAACTTACGTTCTGTAAAATGGGGATAAAACCAGCCCAGTTGACAATATTGTGAGGGTTAAATAAAATAATAAATGGGAAGATACTACGCAGGCACATTGTAAGAGTATAATTATTATGTAATAGTATCTCCTCACGCTTGTGGAATGAAGAGAGAAAGATCTTGTCTCTTATACCCACTGGAATTTCCTGGTCAAGGAAACAACTGCTAAAGAATTTTGAACTAGACCATGGAGAGTCATGAAGCATACTCACTTTGGTTCTAGATACAGGTCCAATAAACTTCAGCATAGCTTAAACCTGAGATGCTCTCCAGGAAGTTTTGAGACTCCTGGGTTCTGTGGGTACTGACTCTAGCTAAAATTAATTGCAGAGAGCTACAGCCTGTTAATAAATTTCCATTTCATAAAACAATCCCTAAGACAGCTATCATAATATTCAGATTTTTAAAATAGTGACTAGAGTTGTTAACTCACTCAGTCAATCTATGAATAATGTGTGTAGGGGGAATGTTCATGGGAAAATTCCATAATCTTTGAATTCCATTTTTCCACCAGGCTTTTGAGGCCCTCTCAGGTTTAATTTTTATAGTGTTGAGTCTAACCTTTATTCACTTGGGTATTAAGCATGATAGATATTATAGAATAATAGTAGTACAAGACTTACAATATTAAGAAAGAGCAAATACTTAAAATCTAACCTAATTTGTTATAACACATTTTTAAGTTTACAACATAAATGTGGTCTAGTGAAAGGAAGCTCCTAATCAAGGCATATACATCCAAATGACAAAAGTAAGTAGTTAAATGTATTAATTACAGATTAATTACCTGAATAGCAAAATCCTGTATATATAGTACAAAGGGTGGTGGTTTACACCCATCCAAAGGTATCTTGGAAGACAGGCCTGCTGACCTCTTTTTGAAAGATCACAGCTTTGTGGAGTAGTTCTACCCTGCACAATTGGGTTACCATGAGTTGGGACTGACTCACAACATAGCAAACTCACTATGGAGCCCTGGGTGGTGTAAACATCTAACACACTTGGCTGGTAACCAAAGGGCTGGTGGTCCGAAGCCACACAAAAGAAAAGCCTGATGGTCTGTTTTTGAAAAACAAATCAACTATTAAAAATTCTACGGAACACAATTCTACTCGACACACAAAGGATCACTATGAGTTGGAAAACAGATCAGCTATTAAAAATCCTACGGAGCACAATTCTACTCGACACACAAAGGATCACTATGAGTTGGATTGATTTAATTTCAGTTGTTTTTTGTTGTTGTTAAATCACTATAAAAGCCTTGCCTACCTATAAGGAGGATTTCATATTTCACAGATCCTTTCACTAAATTCTTTCATTGTTAAAACAGCAAGAGAAAGGTTTCAAACAGTGTGACTATGAGTAGTTATTTATTATTACAAAATTGAGTCTATATTCTATTCCTATAATTGTATTTTAATTACTAGAACTAAACACATTTTTGCATTTTCCATGTTGAATTGAAATTTGTGCTGTAATCATTTTTCTTGTTAGATAATCTTGCAATGTACTGGGAATCATATTTTTTATTATTTTTGTTTTTGTTTTCAGATGGGTAGGTAATAAAACAAGTTTTAAAGGGAAAAATGAAGTTTTCTATTCCCATAAAGATTTGCAGCCTCAGAAACCCTACACAGGGTTGCTATGAGTAGGAACCGACTCCACGGCACAAAACTACTAACCAGTAAACCTCATAACAGAACAGATATGGATTTATCAAAAGAGCTTAAGTTTCCTATAAAACGATAACAAACAAGTGTGAGAATATTGAAAACAAATGAACACTTACTGTATATTCGGTGTAATTCCTTCAAGTAGTACAATATTAACCCCACCAATATGAGCAGTAGCACATGTCTCAGTCATCTTTTGATGTAAAACATCTTAAATGTGAAGGAAAAAAATTATTTGAATATTGGGTAATACGATTATTGCACTTCGTATTAAAACTGTATTTTATTCATAATAATTCAGTGATAATAGGTAATTTTAAAGTTACAAAAACATTTGTTAAATTTCAGAACTACTTTTTAAAAACATGTCCTTTAAGTAGTTTTATTTCTATGCATGTATAGATAACTTAAACAATTTCTTAATGACACTTGACTACTTCTTTATACAGGCATCTTTTCACATAATTCTGATTATTTCCTTTTCTGAGTGTGTTGTTTGTTGTTGTTAAGTGCCACTGAGTCAGTTCAGATTCATAGCGACTCTCTATAGGGTTTCTGAAGAGCAGCTAGTTGGTTTGAACTGCCAAACTTGTGGTTAGCAGTGCAGTGTTTATTCTATAGTGCCACGCCAGGAGTTCTTCCCGGGTTTGTTTAAAACTGTAATTTCTGAATTAAAGACTCAATGTACTTTCAAAACTTTTAATTTGTTGTTGTTAACTGCTATTGAGTCAGTTAAGATTCAACGACACTGTATAGAGTTTCCAAGGCAATAAACCTTTGCGTAAGTAGAAAACTTCATCTTTCTCCTGAAGAGCAAATGGTGGGCTCAAACCACCAACCTTGTAATTGGCAGTCCATTGCTTATCGTGCAGTTACTGTGCTCCCAGTACTTTAACTACTGTTGTTGTTAAGTGCTGCAAAGTCAGTTCAGACTCAGAGATCCTACATAGGGTTTTCTAGGACTAGGTGGTGCATTTGAACTGCTGACCTTGAGGTTTGATTGTTTTGGAAGTAGACATACTTCATGCGGGAGGGAACAAAGGACAGGTACTTGTGTTTGAGGTTGTCACAGTATATGGCTGTGGGGAAGTTGGGTGGGCAGTCACACTCCTGGGGGCAGTCGTGGGGCTCTGGTGGGGATGGAGAGCCATAGATAGGCATAGGCTGGAACTTACTCCACCCCATAGGGATAAGGCTCATAGGACTTGTAAGGGGGTCACTGGGATCCTAGTAGGTGCACTGCTGGCTGCGGAGGTAAGGGAACCACCAGTGGGGGTCTTACTGGGCCCGAGAGAAGGAGCAGAGCACAGCCAGCAGCAGGAGGGAGGCCCACTGCATTTTGTCTCTCTGCAAAATGGGAAAGAGAGCAAGCAGGCATGAGTGAGGTTTGCAGTCAGTGCTGATCCTACAGCACCACACCAGGAGTCGAAGACTTTAATGTTGTTGTTGTTAGGTGCCATTAAGTTGGTACTGACTCATAACAACCCTATACAGAACAGAACAGAACACTGCCTGGTTCTGGGCCAACCTCACAATCGTTGCTATGCCCAAGCCCATCGATGCTGCCACCTTGACAATCCATCTCATTGGGGGTCTTCCTCTTTTTCTCTAATCCTCCACCTTACCAAACACGATATCCTTCTCCAGTGACTGGTCCCTCCTGACAATTGTTCAAAGTATGAGAGATGAAGTCTGGTCATCCTGGTTTCCAAGGAGCACTCTAGTTGTACTTCATCCAACACAGATCTATTTGTTCTTTTAGCAGTCCATGGTACTTTCAATATTCTCCTCCAACACCGTAACTCAAATGCATCATCAATTCTTCTACAGTCTTTCTTATTCACTGTCCAGCTTTCATATACATATGAGATTATTGAAAATTCATGGCTTGTGTCAGGTGCACCTTAGTTCTCAAACTGACATCTTGGCTCTTCAACACTTTAAAAAGGTCTTGTGCAGCAGATTTGCCTAGTGCAATATGTCGTTTGATTTCTTGACTGCTGCTTCCATGAGTGTTGATGGTTGATCCGAGCAAAATGAAGTCTTTGACAACTTCAATCTTTTCACCATTGATAAAAACATTGGTTATTGGTCCAGTGGTGAGGATTTTTGTTTTCTTTATACTTTATTACTTTAATAAAACCTATTCAATTAACCTTCATGAAGTTAAATCAATTAATGTTAATTTAGAAGTAAATTAAACTGTCTAATTTCCTCATCCTCACCTAAATTGGGCATTCTTTATCTTTGTTAGGAGTCATGGTGTTGCACTGCAGGTTAATGTGCTGGAATGAAAGATCAGTTTTATCCGTAAGGTTGGCAGTTCAAGCTCACCAGCTGCTCCTTGAAAACCCTATGCAGGGTTGTTATGAGTCAGAACTGACTTGATGGCACTTAACAACAATTTTTGTTTAGTCAACATATGAAGAAACTGTTAACTTTTAAAGATTATCTTAACCAGTGAGGTTGAACAAATTTTTAGGTCAAATTAGTTATCTGAATTTATGTAACTTTATGTCTTTTGCCTATATTTGTAAGTAAAGTTAAAGATATGTTTGCATTTTTAAAAAATAATTTATAATGCATCTAATATCTTGAAGAATTTCTATAATGTTATAATCTATTTTTAATGTTAAATTACTTTTTGAGAAAATAAATGTTCAGAGTAAAGAATAAGTGTATATAATAAAGAGTAGGTTTAAAACAACTTTTGTTTAAACATTATGTAGTTGGCAACAATAAAATTAACAAAAAGACAAATGGCAATTTTCTCATGAAATACAACCTGTAGGATTCTTTTCAAATACAGGAGAAGACACTATATTAAAGTTTAGTTTCTAAAATCTTCTTTAGTAGGTTCAAAACACAAGCCTAACTCAAAATGCAAGAACAGTTTCCACTGATTCTAACAGGAACTTATTTTTATTTCACTTTTCTGAAACTGGGATGCAAAAATAATTACACATCTTTAAACTGATGGTATTTTATATCTGATGAAATGCCATGATCATATTCAAGATAAATATAATTTGGTTAACCAATGACATTTTATATCCACAAAATAAGACTTCCTTTTAGACATATACTAAAGTGATACTAGGTTATAAGATATCTATGACAACAATAAAGAAAAGCAAGTATCTTATACATTTTATTATTTTGGTGAATTTTTTATCAGAAACATTTCACTAAAAAAAACTTTCAACTAATAGGGTTTCCTATGACCGAAGCAGATGGTCACATCTTTCTACTAAGGAGTAGAAAGGTTTGATTACCCACAGAGCACTTAAGAACTGTGCCATCAGGTCTCCCTGCATCTTATTTTGCCTGTAAAGTGCCATCGAATTGGTTCCAACTCATAGTGACACTGTTCAGGGTTTCTGAGAAGCAGCTGGTGGGTTTGAATTGCTGATCATGTGGTTCGCAGTCCAGTGCTGATCCTACAGCACCACACCAGGAGCCCATCTTATAAGAGAGTTAGAAGCCTAAGTGCCACTGGACATCAGGTACATAACCTAGATCTTTATGTACTTGAAAATGTTCATGAAATATCATAATTTTTTTTATCTTAAATTATATTCAGGTCTATCTGAAATTTGAAAAGTATCACTTTCTGAAGAAAACCTGCTGAAGTATGAATTTCAAAGACATGAGCTAGTACTACAGTATTAGATTTATCATACCTTTCATTTTTTCCTTAAGGGTAAAGCTGCCATGGATTCTCTTCAGCTCTGATTCCATTGTTAGCCCACCAATGTCTGCCTCCAGGTGTGTGCGATTCACCATGCCAATCCCAAACACTATTAGTGTAACGTGCTGAGGTTCAGAAGTGACTAAGCTACGTTTCCTCTGTGTCTTAGTCACACTGTTGTTGTCTTGTTCATTCTCAAAAACAACTTTACATGCTGGTTCTGTAGGACTCCGAACTCCTTTTTAATAAAAACATACAGGTTTAGATATGAAAATCGTGAAAGGGAAGAATATTCTAAACATCAGGTTACTTTTCTTTTCTACACATTCACAACTATCTCACTTTCTCTTCATTACCACCAAAATGATTTTAAATTTTTTTCAACATTTTTCCAGAGTTTCACTGAGAGAAAACTGTACAGTCAGGTATTTGAGATCCAGTTTGTCTGAATTCTTGAAGTAATGTATAAAGGTAAGGCAGAATGGGAGATGGCATGGCAGAATATCTGAATGCCATTACTATTTTCTCCACTTGGTGATTGCCAATATTTGTATATTTCCAATTATCCACTTGTAACATTAGGAAAACATGAACAGTCTTTTATAAGTATTACGATTCTAAATAGAAATTTTAAAAACATGAACATGCCTCTTACCTGCTGGCCCAAATGTTTCTGAAGATTTTTCCAATATCCCTGTTGGATCTGAGATAAGCGAGTAGAAGTTAAGCAATTTATACATGTTCTGCCAGCACTCAGCTGAAGGCTCACTTTGCTCTGACACAGTAATTGAATCGGAGTCATCCATATGAATCGTCATGTGATCTGCCACATCCTTTGAACCTTTCCTAGACACTTTTGAAGTTCTTCTTTCAGACCTTCCTAATGAATTTTTGTTTCGTGATTCCTTTTTGTTGTTCTCATTGTTAGTCCTTTTATTTTTTGCATTATTTACTCTATTGCCACCATTAAGACTTCCTCTAGAACTGCGACTGAAGTCAGAGGAGCGAAAATCACGGTGCTTTCTGGTTTTGAAGGTAGGTGTTGGGGAAGCTGATCCAGCTGTATATCTGCTTAGTTTAATGTCCGTCTGAGTTGCTTTGATGTCATCTATCATTGTACTAAATTGATGAATAAGACGAACCAATGCCATATCTACGTGCTGGCTTATTGACTGACAGGAAATAGTAAAGTTACAGTGGAAGGTATTGTAATAACGCTTGTTGAGATCATGAAAAGAGAGGGCGCTGGTGGAGTTCTGAGGAGTACACACTGATTTTTCCATTACAACAGCACTGATGCTAAAGGTTTCCAACATTAACGCTGGTTTGAATTCAAGTGGAGGAAGATTTACATGGCCTTGCCTAATAATTAAAAAGGAGAAAAAGATTTTAGTTTCTCCCAGATGTGCACACTCTTTATTAACTTAGAAGCAAAATATTCCCCAAATTGAAATATACCATAAAGCATTTAAATAATTTAATTAATTAAGATGTCGAGAAAAATATGCTTTTTTCTAAGGATAGCCTTTTCTTACATTGGAACTGGCCATTAAATCTTCCTTCTGGATCTTACTCTAGAACTGACTAACACAGCTTCCAAATCAACCTTCTAATGTTAAGAAATTATGTAAGTGATAAAACAATTTATTTTGCTACTCCTCTGATAATACAACAGAAATTATACTACTACTTAAATATTTATAGAGTGCTTTAAATTACCTCAAAGTACTTTCACATCTATCATATGATCCTCTGAAAATCCAAGGCAAGCAAGAAAGCTTTGCAAAATTAAGCAACTTAATTAAGAACACTGTTCAATAAGCTCATTGGTGACAAAGAATTATTAATATTTAAAAGTTTAACTAGTTCAAAACGTGGGAAGCATTGTGGCTCTGTAGGATAAGCACTGGACTGTGAATTACAGGGTGGCCAGAGTGAGCCCACTAGCAACTCTATGGGAGTTAGATAAGGCTTTCTGCTCCCCCAAAGATTTACAGTCTCAGAAACCCTATACAGTGTGGCTATGAGGTAGAACCGACTCAACAATATTTAACAAGAACAATTCAAGTCTTAAGCTGATTACTTAAATTTCCTCTACAACGTTTGTCAAGAGGCTATTTAATTAATTCTTGGACATTTTCAAAGCTGAATTTTCTTTAATTATGAGCAGCGTGCTTCTTATAGCGTCCTTATTGAAACCAAACTTAGCAAGCTCCCTTAACTATTCCTTTCACCTTTACTTGATATAATTTTATTTGCTATAATAAACAAAAATGATGAACTTTGCCATGTTGGAAGCAATGAAGAAAGTAATTAAAACAAATATGCAAAACATACAGAAAGCACAAAAATTTAAAGGCATATACATAAAATTATTTTTCAAGAATTGAAAACATGCAATGAAGGTAAGGAAGTCTTAAAGCGAGAAGATTCGGGTAAAGAAAAAAAAAACTGAATACATGATGAAGCAGAAATTTAGGCAAAAGCAGACGTGAGGAGCTTTTATGGGCATCAAGAGGCAAAAATTTAAATATAAGCTAAAAAATGTTTTAAAAGTCCATAATATGTCAACAGGAAAACACGGTCTGATTGGTGAGCATGCTCATCACCGATAAGGGGAAGTGACGGAAAAACAACAATGAAGTGGCGAGCTAAGCCCTACAATGTTTAATAGACTCCTGTGAACCCGGGTGGAGACCTGGTTGACCAGCAGTGTAGCAAGACCTGGTGACTCTTGGGCCCAGAGTCAGTGACATAGCCACAGAGGACTAGAGTGGAGAGTGAAGCATCCAGCTGATAAGAAGAGAGGGCATATGCACAAGAACACCCATATGTGCAGATAATACCCCTTTGACCTGGCTTCAATGACTGGATGATCAGAGCTCAACCAGAAGAAGAAAGAAGAGGAAAAAAAAAAAGAGTAATCTGATACAATTTGATGAACTTGACCTACACCTATGGATACAGTAGATCAAAAGAGGGAACAAATCTTTACAGCGAGGATCATTCCCAGCCCCTCCATACACAGGGTAGATAGGGATGGGCAACTTGGACATTGGCTACCCAAAATGGAGGGGGGGGGGCCTACAAAGGCAAGAAGTGACTAGCTTACAAGCTTTCAAAAGGGAGCCTAGATCCAGAGGGCATGGAAGAAGGTAAAATCTCCAATGAGTAGTATCCAATCTGTCTAGGCGGGGCTGATGAAAGGAGATGTGGATAGGTCTCTTGTACTACAATAGTGAATAATTGTTATCAGGATTGATTGTGAGGGTTGGAAATGTAAAGGCAGACATTTTATAGCAAGGAGGGGAGTGATTAACTTTTTAGTCTAGGAGCAGAGGTCCCTGGGAGCATCATTGGAGAAGAGCAGAGAGCGGAACCCTACCCAGAGAAGCAGTGATGCCAGAGATGGAGGCAGAGATGATGACACAAAGAGATGGAGCAGCTGGGGATGTTAGACCCAGAGGGGGAGAGGGGCTGTGTGCTGATGACCAGGGTGCAGGCTTGTAGTGTATACCCTTTGGTTGGTTGATGATGCATGGACGGGATTGTAACCATGGCAATGAAACGATATATGATAGAATGAATGTAAAACTAATGTTCTCCCATGTAAACTATCACATAATTCACAATAAAACATTAAGAAAAAAAAAAACAACCCATAATATGTACAATGATTTTCAATGAATGTAACAAACAGCAAGGAAACTATAATAATTTATGAGGAGTTACTACATGTTAAACTCTATGCTCAATGAGTTAATAACTGTTCTTTACTGTTATTAAGCTTTACAGTCTAATAAGAAAGTATGTTCATACAATAATTAGCAGAATGAACAATATGCTATAAAAACAAAATAAAGCTATTAACAACTAAGATCATAGTGCCCAAGAAAAGTGTAATGTGGTAAAGATTCAAGTAAAGTTTTAAGATGAAATTATAGGAGATTTGAAAACTGAAAGTTAACCATGAGTTAGAAGCAAGAATATGGAACACTTAGACCTGCTGTGATATCAGTGGAAAAAATAAAATATTAAATTCTGAACTACCAAATTCAGTAGACTCAGAGAATCGCTCAACAAATTTATCTGGGAACATAAAAAGGGAAGTATAAATAGATGAATGACTAGCTTGTGGCAGTATTATGAGGTATTTAGTAGGCCAGTGCAAGGCAGCTAATGATTTATTATGAGCACCTAGCAGTATTGTTCCACTCTGTGATGTATTATAAATCCTAGCCTCTGAGCCGGTGATTATGGACCCATTTTGAAGTGAGTTGTTAAGGACACAGGATTAAAGTGAAACTAAGGAATAAGGACTAAAGTTGTAGACTAAGCACTAGACTACTAACCACAAAGTTGGCGGTTCAAACTTAGCAGCCACTTCTTAGAAACCTTATACAGGATAGCTATGAGTTAGAACTCACTAGACAGCACTTAAAAACAATAAGAGTAACAAAAACAAAAGGTGGGGCTAAAGATGTTCCGTAGAAACTCAGATGATGACACTTCTTCCCTCATACACAGACATGTTATCAGGAGGGACCAGGGCCTGTTGAAGGCCATTATGATTCCATAAAGTAGAGAGTCAAAAAAAAAAAGAGGAAGACCCCCCCAACTAGATGGATTGGCACAATGACAGCAGTAATGGACTCAAACATAACAACAATTTCAAGGAAAGTACAACATTGGGCAGTGGTTCATTCTGCTGTGCATCGGGCCACTATGAGATGGCACTGACTCAATGGCACCTAACAACAAAAACAAAAAAAATGAGGCTGCCCTGACGTTACTAGAGGTTGTGACTCCAGTTACCACCATTAGTTTTCCTTGAGGGCATGGGTCTGAGTCCAATTTATAGGACTGCTTTAGCAAAATTTGCTCTATTGCCATGGATCTTGCATCTGGCTCATTACATCTGACCTCCAGTTTGTGGCACTTTTGGCTCATCACCTAACCTGATTCATTATATCATGCAGCCTTAAAAATCAGCAGTCTGTAGTCTAATTTGTCAATTTGAATTCCTCTGCTCCTGAGACTACATGAGTGAGGAGAATCCTCTAGATGATCTCTGGACTACAGATTTGGGACTTGACAGTTTTCTCAATTACATGCATCATTTCCTTCGACAGCTATGAGTTTTTGAGACATTCCACCAGGCAGAAGAATCCTGAGACATGAGGAATGGGAGGAGTGGCAAATGACATTAAAGATTGTGAAGTGGTATAACTGGTTGGACCACCACCACTCATCTGTCAGTCTGCCATACAGGGTTCCTTGTGTGTTGCTGTGAAATACCAGCAGGTTCATCATGGTGGATAGCCTTCAGCAGAGCTTCCAGACTAAGATAAACTAGAAAGAAGGAGAGGCAGTCACATTTGAATGTTTAACCACTGAAAACTTTTATGAGTGTCAGTGGAACACTGTCAAATATAGTGCCAGAAAATGAGTCCCTCAGCTTAGAAGGCGCTCAAAGTACAACTGAGTAAGAGCTTCCTCCTCAAACTAGAGTTAACTGTGATGATGTAAAAGGAGTAAAGCTTTTGGAACCTTCATTTGTTGATGGGGCACAAATCAAAATGAAGAGAAACAGCTGTAAACATCCATTAATAATTGGAACACAGCATGTATAAAGTATGAATCTTGGAAAATTGGAAGTTGTTTGATATCCTAGGTGTTGTTAGTGAGCTGAAATCGACTGGTATTGGTCATTTGAAATATGAAAATTATATGATTTATTAGCCAGCAACAACAAATTTAAGTGGAATGGCATAGCATTCATCATCAAAAAGAGTATTTCAAGATCTGTCTTGAAGTACTTATTACAGTGCCACACTAGGGCTCCATATATATATTTATATTGTTGTTCTTAAGTGCAGTTGAGCAGTTCCGACTCTTAGCAACCCAGCATAGGGTTTCTGATGTTGTGAATCTTTACAGAAACAGAAAACCTCATTTTTCTCCCAAGAAGTGAGTGATGGGCTCAAATGGCTGACTTGTAGTTCACAAGTCCATAGCTTATACTTTAGAGTTTTAGAGTCACCATGCTCCTGATATTTATTATGTATGTTATGTGTCTATATATATGTGTGTGTATGTGATATCTATATCTTCATCAGTAAATGTTTTAAGCCCTTTTCACTTAGATATATACATATGTTGTTGTTGTTAAGTGCCGTTGAGTCGGTTCCGACCCATAGCGACCCTGTACAGGGTTTCCGAGGGTGTAAATCTTTATGGGAGTA